GGGCTTGATGGGCTTTATGATATCAGCTGTGTGGGACTTGGAGGGGGCTAATTGGGAGGGGAGAGGCACCTGAGAGTGCCAGTCAGGCCTGCGTCAGGTTGAGTGAGGTCTAATTAAGAGTTTCCAGTCCGACTTGGGCTGTTGGGTGAGGCTGCTGAGTGCTGCGAAGCTTCCTGACAGACCAGCTGGCTGATGGCCACCTGTGCAGATCGTGGGTTACGACCACCTGGTTAGACTTCTTTGGGTCTTGCATGCTGGGCTTTTGTGGGGACTGTTTGGTTTCTTTGGTTTGGTTCTGGGTACAGTAGGAGGAGGTAAGATACCCTGGGTTAGAAATTGGCCCCACTGACCTTCTTAGTCTGTTACTACCTCTATGTATTTCTTTTCTTTCTGTTATTTTTTTTTGAGGGACCGGCAGTGGATACAGGTCCTTTTACCAGTATGCTCTTCAGAGACAACTGGCAAAGTAGGTTCATAGGGTCGATGGCCTGGCATGCTGGTATGAGAGGTGGACATATTAGTTGCCTCCTCTCTGCCATTGTGTTGCCTGTAGGTTTAGTTAGTTTTTTGTTGGTTTTTTACTATGATGGAGGTTTCACGAGATGGTATTTAGGCTGGGAGGTAGTGTTATTATGTTTGTTGGACGAAAGACATGGTCGGGTTGGTCTTTTGCTCAGCTTTAGCTACACTGAGTGCTGGTTGGCTTCATACCAGAGGGTCTACAGACTTCGACCGAGGGTGGACATTGGGTTGTTTGATGGTCTTGTAATTAGTTCTCGGGTGGACATGACTCGTGGATGGTTGGTAAGGGGCCGTAGCCTTAGTTAGCTTAGAATTAGTAGTATACCAGTTAGCGGTATCCCTGTGCTGGCTGGGATTCATCGTATGCCAGTGTTGGCAATACAAATTTTAAATAAAATTAGATTGAATTCTAAGTACTTTTCCTACTTATTACTTTAACGAATATAAAACACCTTTACACTCTTTATCATTATCAAAACCTTTATTGTTATTACATTGAGAAAGCTCTTCCCAAAGAACAGTTAGAGAAAGCTTACCATAGGCATTCCTAACAGGAGACAGAGGTTGTGTGCTATCAGTAACGTAGGCTGAGGTGTATTGCTATCGGAAGGTTAAGAAGAAGAAGAACGAGAGAAGTATCATTCCCTGTCACCAAGAACAAACCATCGGAAAGGGGATTGTTACAACAAGTAATGTGAACTAAATGAGTCATATGTATGAAATAATAACCTACCTATGAATCATAATTATGAGTCATGTGAAAACCTTTTCCGTGCCAAGCCATATTTGTGACAGTACCCCCAAAATAGCCTTATCTGCTCTTGTCCTCGTTGTCCAGATTGGGACGTGGTTGTGGTCAATTCTATAGCTTCACCCAGCTCTATGCTTGTGGGGGAGCAAGTCATTACATAATCCATGAGGGTAGTTTGTGCTTTCCTAGTTAGATAACATTGTAAACCTTTGAGTGTGTATCAGTAAAATATACAAGTATCGGAATGGTATCATACTGTACTATACAATAAGAGATATCACATGGGGTTAGGGTTGTAGGGTTAAGCCGTGCTCATTCTCATAAAGATTGAGCCAACAACTTCCTCGTCTCCTTTGACCCCGTGAAGGTCGCGGCGCTTGAGATGCTTCCAGAGGCGCTAGTGGTGCATCCCCCCGACAACAGACACAACAGACAAGCAGCAGGAGGTAAGGTAGAGGAGCCGAGATGTGCCGGTGTCGGCGGGGTCAGACGTGGGTAGGGTTTTCAAGGGGTTGAGAGAGAAAATGAATTTTCTGAGGGGCAGCCTTTTCATTCTTGGGGGAGGAAGTGTCAATAGGCATGGAATGTTCGGACATGCCTTCCTGGGGATCGCTAGACATGACTAGAGAACCGGAGCCTGGCTGCGGACCTTGAGCTGTCAGAGGTTGGACGGATGTCTTCGAGGAGGTAGGTAAACGTTGGGATAACCAGAAAGTTTCTGGAGAGCAACTCACTAAAAAGTGACTGGTACACTGCCCGCCCGTCTATATGGCACAAGAGGGGGGTGGGGGAGGAAGGATGGCGCTGACTTATATAGAGCGCGACTGAGGGAGGGGGTGGGGTTAATGGACTTGAAGACGTGTGTGCTGGATGCTCGGTACAGGGCGAGAGGGATTGGTGAGGAGGGGCGAAATCTAGGAGTATAATATTGGCAGCTCCCTTTTCGGTGGCGGGCGGGATGTGTATATTTATTTTTCCACAAAGACCAACTCATTTAATATCACTCGGTTTGCTCGATAATCGTCACGCGTGAGTAACCCTGCGAGTTCCAGCACAATCCCTTGCCGAGTGGGACAATTTGGCCAACGTGTGATGAATGTAACCGTAAAAGAGCCAATACTGTAAAAGAGCCAATCCTTGCAAGTGCGGTTCTCCATGCAGGTAACATTTCTAGCCTGCTTTTTCTGCATCTCTCCCCACCGCCTATCCTTTCCTTCACCTACATCGTAGATTGCCCCAAACCTGCAATAAGCTTTCCTGTGGGTATCGAGCGGGATTGACACTTCTCCACATTCCCAGAAATTTTTGCAACGCGCAAGTACTTGCTCTCCCCTTAACGGGGGGAGGGCCTGTAAGGCAAGCCCACGATATTACCTCATGCCCCGCGTCGAAGCGACCAGCTAGTCGAGTAGCGATCGCTCCCCCTCACTTTCCCAGACCTCGGTGCATCCAGTATGATACGTGAGGCCTCCCCTCCCGGAGAAATGTAGGCACCAAAAATAACCGCTATGAGGGTTTCGACCCGTAACCCAATCCCCATCAGAGAGAAGAAAAGAAGGAGAATAACTCCCATTGCTAAATCATCCTAGCAGAAATTTCCAGATATTCGTCCAAGTTCATCGTGCGTACCCAGCCAGTAACTTAGCATTTGTGCCTGCTGGTACATTTTCAAGCGATTGAACTATGATAGCAGCACTACTAAACAATAGGGTGCGAGGAACAAATAGCAAGCAAAATAATCTAGAAAACCTCCTGATACCTTAACAGATATTCAAAGATTTCTTGGCTGGATTACGGGTATCGTACATTGTCGGTTTATGGTTTTCCCGACTCATCACCAAGGCCTGGCTCCGAAGTCGCCTCTTCTCGGGTGACGTGGGATACCAGTATGGTAGAATCGGAAATGCTGGGGAATCGGAGGGAAGACGATCCATGAAACTGCTTTCCTTTTTCGGAGCTGTCCAATCATGTGGAAGCAACCACCCGAATTTGTCCACTGCTCCAGCAGACTTCCCGCTCCCTCCCGCCTACCCCCGGCCCCTGGAAACGTTTTGCCAACCCTCTCCCGTCCTTCGGCAAAACAAATTGTGATAAAGTTTACAATATCCCTAGCGGCATACATAAAAACGGTAATCTAGAAGGCTCTTCCTCTCCTCTTGTTATTAATGGGTAGAGTTCTTGAAGTGTGATACAAGGGGGGGCATAGGAACCTTATGAATGCGGCTGCATGGCGGCATTGTCTCAGGCCTTCCCAGAAAACGAACAAGAAATGATCCACCCCGCAGGTTTCTGGAACCATATCCCATTCTATCACAGTGATTGCCCGCGCCGGGAAGAACAGGAGGGGGAGAGAAGTGAGGGTAGTGCAATTATCCCCGATACAGAGTTTACCAAGCCCAAACGCTCACATGCGTTTCCGGTTCCGTTGCAGGAAGAAGCGAGAGAAAGTGAAAGACCACCCTCTCGGTGCGGAAAGTTAGGACCTGAGGGGAAAGAAAGGAGAAAACGGAAGAAAAATCCAAGAATTAATTATTCCCGATATCGCGCTTACCAGACCCAAAACAAAATTTACATGCGCACTTCCGGGGCCGTTACAGGAAGATGCGAGAGGGAAACAAAAGATCACCCTCGTGGCCTGGACGCCGAAGGGGTGACTTGGTCAGCGGATGCAAGGGTGCAGATTTAGCCATCCAGTGGAGGGGGGGTGTTTGGGTGGAATGTGGTTTCGTCTCGCAGCAAGTTTTGGTAGCTCATTCGTGGTATAGTATCATAGCCAGCGCTCGGGTGGGCCGAGTTGATCCCGGAACACCGCCGTACGGGTATTGGCCAAAATGCCAGAGTTACCCCTTCTGGGGGATACGTACTCGAGCAGAGAATTTATTGGCAAAACCGACCGACCGGCCTAGTCACCCGGGTGTGTTAGTGATGATGAGAGGACAGGGGCACAGGTGGCCAAGGGTATATCTGTGTGTAGCACTAATTCCATTGAGGGGGCAGCTTGATCCTGCTACAAGGTGCCCTCACAACATAATTTGGAGTCCGCACTGCTTCACACATTCCCCTGCCACACCAAGTTTTGATACGTCTTTGGCCACCCAGACCCCTATCCGTGGCATCAGCAACGCCCATACCCGAGTACTCGTGCATATCAGGAACAACCATTCACTAGGAGTATTCCCAGGCTAACCCTAGTATCCGAGTATAAGTGCTCGCGCGGTCACCCCCATAGCGTGGTGGCCGGTGAGCGAGCGAGTGAGAAGGATTGGGTATGCGCCGAGACATATTGATCCTTACGTACTACAGCAACGGCCATCTGCACATGGATGGCATACCGGTATTTGCACGCTACCTGAGCACCAAAACTTGCTGCTCTCCTGAGGACAGAAACCCCAGGCGCGATTCCAGCTCCTTCTATATGTGATGCTAGTATGCTGTTGCTCGTGGGGATAGCTCTTGGTGTGAAATTGGAGATACGACAAGAGATATTGAAAGAGGTGGGCGGATATGCGGGTTGGCCAGCTGTGATGAATTATGCGCAAAGCGGGTTCTCGGGGGCACTCGGTCACAAATCATTCGGATGGGCATCTCTCAGGCTACGCGTTTATTGGCTGGCCAATCACTGCTCTGTGGCATCCGGTTTCAGTTCGGCTGTGCGAGTACCGTGGGAAGCACCTTTCTGTTCCCTTCCCACCACAAGTCAGCCGGCACCGCAGCGGTGTAGGTGTGATAATGGGGGCAACCTTTACATAAAGCGCAAACTAGCTATGGCATACCATACGTACGTGTACTTGTGCTCACAAGTGCAAGCTGTACCGTAGTAACTTTTTAAAAACAGAAAGGAAAATCCAGCAACATGAGGATGGTAAGCAAGAAAATAAAGAAAAGTGAAAGCGAACAGGCTGAGATAAACAAGCATAACTCAGGAAAGAAGGGAAGAAATAAAGGAAGGTATCCCGTTATCAATCCTAGCGATTCAATATTACACCCCGCACCCGCACCAGCCCATCGAAACCTCCCCTCCTAAGCGAGGAGTAATAGATTTCACCTACTCCCCACCGAAAATACTTTTTCTAACTTCGCCCTTATCTTTCACTTCGGGGGCTTCCTTTGCAGAGTCTTTAGCCTTAGTCTTGGTCTTCTTGTCGGAGGCCGGAGTAGTGGTAGTGGCCCTCTTGGTTTTAGTTGACTGTTCCTTTTTAGTGGGGGCCGATTTTGCTTTGGTGCGCTTCTTCTTGGGTTGCCTATTCCCAGTATTCAAATTAGCTTCAATCTCAATTCTAGGTGTGATATTCAAGGGGGCGTACTCTTCCTCCTCACCAACTTCATCCTGAACATCACCAACGACTGCCGTAGCCTTACGTTTTCTCCCGCCGCCTCTACCTTTCGATTGCGCTTTTAGCGGGGGCAAGTCGGCAGCATCCTCTTCGATGTCATCATCAGCATGCAACACCATCTCTGCATCTTCGGCTTCGGTGTCGCTATCACCACCAGCCTTCTTGCCTCTCCCCTTGCCAGCCTTCTTCCTCCCATCCCTTGTTGACTTCATGCTCCTGGCGGGAGGAGCGGTAGTACGGGACTTGCGAGCGGCAGGGGGAGAATCATCGTCGGCAGATTCGTTGACTTCGATGTACTTCTTTGGAGTCGCGGCGGTCGCACGGGAGGAACGGGGACGGGTGGGCTCTGTGGCAGCAGCAGATTTGGCGGGCTTTTTGGAAGTGGCGGAATTTCTGGATTTGACCGGTTCGGGGGATGCGGAGGGGGAGAGGGTCGGAGTTGTGGTCGATTTTTTAGCGAGAGTACGCTTTTTGGATGCGGTGGTAGTAGAAGTGGCAGCGGATTTTTTAGTAGACTTTTTGGGGGTGGGTCCTTCATCGGTTCTGTGAGGGTGTTAGAGTTTTGCGGGATTATAGGTGATTGCGGGGCCAACGTACTCTACCGCTTCCTCTTCTTCATCGTCAATACCCCCCTTCTTCCCCTTCTTTGCCGCGGGTGCACTCTTCCCTTTGGCCTTTACAGTAGTCTTCTTTGCATCCTTGCGGTTTAAGCCAACATCACCCTTCCAGTCCTGATCATCAACATGTCCTACTTCCAACGCAACCCTAACCTTGTCCTTCTGCTCATCCGGCAATTCCCCCCATCCGTCGAAAAGACTCATGTCCACTTCCTTCCCCTCCTCGTCCTCTTCGCCCTCCGGCAACAATCCCTTACGCAGATTAACAATTTGCTGAGGAGTGAAACAGCCCCAGTGACGCCAGGACCAGGACTCGAAACTGGGCCCTTTGACCCAAGTGCCCAGGCGGAGTTCGCCTTTGCCAATTTTAGTTTTACCGCAGGTAGTAGCCTTACAGCTCGCGCGGCCGTTGGAGACTTCGACTCGGTAGACCATTGTTTGGCTGACTTGATTTTTGTGGTGGTGTTTTGTTGGGATGGTGTAAGAGTTAAGGGTGGAGAGGGAGGAAGGGAGAGAGGAAGGGAGAGAGGAAGTGAGGGAGGGAGGGAAGGAAGAGGGAAGGCAGAAGGAGGTTGATGGATGGGAGGAAAGCTGGTGAAGGAGATAACGCGTCTCAGTTGGGCGAATGACGTCTTGCGTTATGATATTATTAGGGTACCGTATTCGTCACGCTAGAACAAGAGAGCGCGACCACAATGAGGCCGCAGTATCAAGACACAGGCGAAGAATCATAACAAAGGTGAAGAAGGAGGGTGACTGTGATAAAGTAGGGCATAAATTCAAGCGGTATCCAGCCTCCCTCTCCAAGGCCCCCTCGTAAGCAGATAAATTAATAAATGGGTAAATAAATAAATAAAATAAAATAAATAAACAAATAACAAAATTTAGCCAATCACGAGGAAGGAATCAAGAAGGGAACAAGTAATCTAATCGGCATCATGCAAGTGCCGATACGGCACACCGCTGGCTGAACATGAAAAAAAACCGTGGCGCGACCGAGTGATCTGGTAGTGAGAGATTACATAATCGAACTGGTTGAACGCCGCGCTGCATTTGGTGAGGGAAACCTAATACTATACATACGGTAGTCAACCCGATCATAACCGATCAAGATAATCCCCAATTTCAAACTGCTAAGGCTCCTCGAAATCAACATTTATTTTTATTTTCTCTCTACCTTTCGATATAAGGTGCGCTGGGAGTTGAAGGAGCACAAGGTTTTAAAAATATTAACCTCAGGGAGAGCGATAGAGGTTTAAAGTAAAGTGAGCAAAACACACTGCTTGTTTCCTTACACGGTTATTTGCTGTTAGGACTACTATAATGACAGTTGATTAATTTTGCGTTAGAGCCATAATAACTGGTTGTTAACCGCCTTTGAATAATAGACAATTTTACTTGTGTTACTAAGCGAAATCAGTGCCCTGAATCCGATTTGAGTTTTCCCCCACCATGCCCGTGGCAGTCTAACCCCTCGGCAGAGCCTCCAAACAGAAAAGTAAAGAGAGAAAAAAACCCGTTCTCAACATCGTAGCAAATCGTTAAGCGGCAGAACAAACCCTTCCTACCCCCCCCCTGGAAAGAAAAACCTCACCCCCACCCCCGAAATCCATCCTCAATGATATGCTCTCGCCGTTCACTCGATCGGTCCCGAAACATCGAGCCCAGGTGCTATGTCCGTTTCTATACCCCTCGTTCACTGTTCGGAGCACAACCGTGCTTCAATCGCGGCTCGCGATAGCTGCACCAAAGAGGGTACACTACTCCCTTTCCTCGTTCATCCTTCTTGGGAAAAACATCGATTGAGCTTACGAACGGCGTACCGTGGTTGAGAAAAAATAGAGACGCTCTCGATCTTACCCCACTAGAGGTTACTCCACCATCGATGAATCAACAAATACCTACAATGCAAATGGAGATGAGGAGCGAGGAGAAAAGGAGAGGGGGGGGAATGATGAGGTGCACCCTGGCGAACCGCCCAGATACTCTGCCCCTCCAATAAATTACTATGGATTCCCTCACGATCCCAACAACTCCAGATCCTATCCTCCACCGCTTCCGCCCCCTCCATATGGCGATACCCTCTCCCACTCAAAATATAGAGCCTACTTCGGTGTCCAACGCGTTCCCGATAAAGCCACATTATGGCTAAAGCAGTTGGAGGAAGGGCCCTTCCTGCCATGGAAAGTTGAGCACGTGAACGTCGGCAGGCTGCTGGTCCTCCTCGAAGCGGCCCGGGGGGATAAGGTTGATGTGATAACGGAACTGGTATTACATGGGAGGTGGAGGGATGCTGTATGGATTGTCCGGACCTTGCTAGAGCCCATGGGGAGGGGGTACACTGGTCTCGACGGGGGAGGTGATCAACTTTATGGAGTTGTGTACACCGCCCTAGGTGGCGGGAAGTTGAAGCCACGGATAGGGAAAGGTAAAGGGAGGGATGTTGCGGGGATTGCGGGGAAGGCGGGGATTTGGTCTCTTAATAGGAAGATTAGACGGGATGTGGAGCGGCGGAGGAGGGGGTTGAGTATTGTTCTTGGATCGGTTGGCATGATGATTGCCCGGGCGGGTGAGGAGGGGGAGGTCCGAGGGCAGATGGAAAGGGTCTCGTTGCAGGAGAAGGTTGAGAGGGGCGAGATTTCGAGCGATGAGGCGCAGAAGTTGGCGAAGGAGTTGCTGGCTCGAGATAAAGTTCGAGAGGTGAAAAATACACGAGAAATTCCGAACGAATATACGGACCTTCTGCCCACCGCTAGGCAGGTACTGGCTTATATACACACCGCCGGGCTGGTACCTATGGCCATATACTCTGCTACCCAGTACCCCCGCCTCCATTTCCTGCGATCGAGGATAATGGTCTCCATGTCTGACGCTGTATGGCGGGCTCAGGAGGCGATCATAGCACAAGAAGCGGAGGAGAAAGGAGTATACGGGGAACATCGGGGGATGGAAGTTCCGCGAGCGCGACAGCGTCTGATGACCTGGGGTTCAGGAACCAGAGACATAATAGAAAGACCCGTGGTGCGGGACGGGGCCCCTGACAAGATAGCGTCCTACGCCGAGCGGGAGACCTGGCTAGAGCTCGTCATGGCCTTGGCGTGTGAGGGTGGATTTGGTCTTGTGGGCAAATACCTCTTGGATAGGCTACTTCACAAGCCGAAACAGAAGTGGAGCTTTGTCAATTACGCCAAGGTCTCTCCCAGAGATTACAACCCAAACTGGATCCGTGGAATGCACGTGGACAAGAAAAGCGGTGTGGTGAAGAAATGGGGATTAGAGGGGTATTCGCTCGAGAAGCCCGATATAAAGACTCTCCCGTTCACGCTCCCGGACTGGGTTATACCGGGAGTCGTTAATGCGTTGCTAAACTCAGATGCCGAAGGCAGAGGTACCGAGAGAATCGCCAGCTGCGCATTATCCATCGTCCAAATTATTCCTTCCCACCTTATCCGCCGCAGCGCGATCGCCCGCGCCCTGCGATACCCCGATATCGTATTCGCGGAGAAAGCGAGCTTAACAAAATATATCGCCAGAATCGAAGATGCCCTAGGAAATCATATCAGATCACTCGATCTCTCCTACACTGCGCTTCACCAAGCTATCAAGCGGGACAACCTTGTCGGTGCCAAACTGATCTGGGCCGATATAGTCGGCAGGTCTCAGGCCACTTCGCATCCGGAATGGATCTTAGGGGCGTACCTCATGGCTCTCGTTCGGGGACGGAAGTTGCAAGATGCATTGGATTTATTGAAGCCGAGCCCCAGCGGTCAGACGGTAATCCCGAAATCGATGTACGCGAGTCCATACATAGCTCCTGCAGTCATGATGCTTTCGGTTACGGTAGACAAATACCCATTACTTGAATTGGTAGCAACGGCGGTTAAGGAGACAGGCGGGACACACGCTATGTTCTCATCATTGCTAAATGCATACCTGCGCTTTGGGAGAATCGAACTAGCCCACGGGGTGCTAACCTTCATGACGAACCATGGTGTGCAACCCGACGGGGTGGATGTCGGCCTACTGGTTCAAAACGAGCTTCGCAGGGACATGAATGCAGCCTACCACCTCGTCGAACTCGCCACAGGGACCACCCCGGATCCATCCCCGGCCCCACCAGGGAACCCCAATAAGGTGTCCTTCGGGGACCCCCGAGAAACAGAACCACCCCCTTACACACCAACGAGGGCCATCCCAGGAGTAAAGCCTGGAATCGGGATCTCACGCGATGCCTGGCTCGCGGTCCTCGACCACGCAGTCCGCACCAACGACCCCTACCGGACAAAATGGGCGCTTGACAACCTCAGCGTCGACGCGACCACAACCCAAGGCATGGACACCAACGTCTTCAACATCCTCCTCCGGGGCGCCACGCACCGCCGCGGCTCATACGTCGGCATGCAACTCTGCCAGAGATTCTGGACCGACCGCCCGCACCACCGTGAGGACAGAGAAGGCCTAGTCAACTTGCTCTCCGTCAGAACGGTGCTGCACCAGGCGCTTCGTGAAATTCAGGCACTGGATCGCCGCGCCATGTGGGAGGAGTTGCAGCGGAGGCGGAAGCAGTGGGAGGAGCAGCACGGACAGAAGGCCCGCGCTATCAAGTTTGAAGGAGGTGAGGACTGGGACCAGAAGAACACGAGCGTCGAGGCGATTTGGTATTGCTGGAAGCAGATGAGGAAGTTGGGGCTTGAGGTTAAAGAGGTGGAGCAGTTGGTTTGGGCTCGTGTGAAAATGGAGAGGGTTGAGCGGTAATTCATGGGTGGTTTTTGTGTATGGGTGGTTTTTGTATATGGGTGGTTTTTGTATATGGGAGGGGGAGAGGGGAGGAGGTGTGTGTATTATATGCTATGACATGGAAGTAATATCGTGTTCGGCATCTATCTCGAGATATAGATTTTATATGATATTACTATATTATATCGCTGCTCTACTCATTATTGTGGGCCATTGGGTGCGGAAACTCACCGATCTCGCGGAACGCAGACGCAGAGTACTCCGTAAGAAACAGCCGTGGTACCGAAATTATTTGATCTAACATGCAAGGTCTCACATGACGTTAAGGCAAGGGGTGTCGCTCTCTTGAGCAACAAAATATAGGTACTCGAGTCTCTGTGTTGTGCGGGCTGCCGTGATTACCTATGATACCGGTATTATCACTCGCCGCCACATGCCAGTAATTACCGGAACAAAGCCGATGCTACCCTGTACGAAGGGGGTGGGAAAGGCATAGCGAAGTCCTGGCTGCCAGGCGCAGTGATATTCTGTTAGCCACATTCGCCGTACTTTCCCGACCCCCTTCGTATCATACGAGTATCATACGGTGCAGTACTGTACCGTATTGGCGAATTTCATGTGCGGCTAGTACTCTGGTAGCTGTACAATGCTTACTCAGCGTTCCGAGGATGATTTGGGCCAATCAAACTGCAGTCCCCCTTGAACAGAGCACTAGCCACACTCTTAGCGCGAGCGCCAGTCAGGCTTTTTCTGGGTTTATGTTGGTGCCATAAATTTAGCGGCTTTGGGTGTTCTCACGCAAATAATAATTCTGGTATCGTATGTTTCACTAATCAGACCTTTTCCGAACTGCCGGTACCGGCATTCTTTATCTAATCTGATTCCAGCTAGCGCGGCCTAACGGTTCTTGTTGTAAAAAAACTCCGTCATCGCAGATCTCACCAGAATCTTTGTACTAAACCATAATAGGCTTAGTAGGGGAGGGAGGTTAGT